GCCGCGCGCCGCTGGCGCCGCGCCTCCGCCTGCCGCTCGCGCTCGCGCCGCACCAGTTCCAACTGGCGCTCCGCCTCAAGCCGCTGCTCTGGGGTGGTGCTGGGCCCGGCCAGCTGCTCGCGCAGAAACCGCTCATACTTCGCCTCTGTCTCTTCGCGCCTATGCTCCACCTGGGGCAAGGAGCGCGGCCAGCAACACAAGGAGGGGTGAAGTGGAGAGGCCCGCAGGCGGGCGCTGCGGCTCGCAATCGAGACGCTTGGGCAGGCAAGAGTTTGCAGGGGTGCTGACCACCCGGTCCGCGCCGCCCGCCACCCCTGACCAACTGCATGCCATGGCATGGGCGCATGCATGCCGCAGCCCTCCACACCCGCAGCCCAAACGGACCCCGGACCCACCTTCCCCACCCCCTCGCCCCCACCCCACCTGCTCCACTGCCGCCTTCTTCTGCTGGTATGCCTGCGCCCCCAGCTCCATCTTTCTCAAGTGCGCCTCGACCGCATCAGAGTTGGGCGGCCGCCCCAGCGGCAGCCTCGCAACGTTCGCGGCCCGGCGGATTTCGTCCGCGAAGCTGCCTCCCTCCTGGCCGGCTGGGCCTCTCTCAACCCCGGTCTCAGCTGCACTGCCGAGAGCTGCGCGTCCCCGGCCGGGCTGCTGCTGGCCGCGGTCTTGCTGCCACCGCCGCTGCTGCTGCTGCTGCTGCTGCTGCCGGTGCCCTGCTGCTGCCACTGGTGCGGCCGGTGCCTGCGGCTGCCCCCAGGCATGCCTGCCGCCACGCGCTGTCATCGCTGGCGCCTGCGCAAGCCCCGCTGGTGGCAGCGGCGCGGGCTGCCGGCCGCCGGTGAAGCCCGGCCGCTGCAGGTGCTGCGGCGCCTGCCGCCGCGGGAGCAGCGGCGTCGACGCGGGGGAGCCCCACAGCTGCTGCAGCCGCGCGCCCGCGCCGGGCGTCGCCCAGGCCGATGGTGCTGGCGCCGCCGCATGGCGCTGCGGCAGCCGCGCGTCCATGGAGGGCCGCCGCATGAGACCCACATCCGCCAGTGTGTTCTATACAGGAGCGACATGCAAAGAGTCCGCAAGCGGCGCCCAGTCAATAGGGAGTCGCATGGGCTTGTGCGCAGGGATGCATGCAGGTGGTTCTATGTGGCAGATGCAACAGGCATGCTGCATGCGCCGAGGGCGCAGCCTGTACTGAAGTGCCCGCATGCATGACTGCCTAGGCAAGAGCCAACGCGTCCACCCTCTGCAGTGCGTCGCCCAGATTACCGGCCTTTGCACCTGCAGTTTTCGATCGAAAGGAGTCGATGCGGCGCCGCCGTTCTGCCAGCGCTGCTCACTGCCTGGCCCAGGTGTGCTGGGCACTAAGCCGCGCTCGGCTCGACTGAAGCTGCCCATCCGCGTCAGCTGCGGTGTCCACTCTGCGGCGGCAGCGGGCTCTGCCGGAGCATCACGAGTCACAGCAGCGGCGCATATGGGCGCCGCTGCTTTCAATGCTGCCGCTGCTGACGAGGGTCCGGCGCCCTCCGTATCAGTGTGCATGTGCCTGCGTGGCCCGTTTAAATGGTTGTCTGCACCTATTGCCTGTTGCCGTGAACCCTTTGCGCGCTTGCCGTGCGCAACATCGGCGTCCTCGGCATCCGAGTCCCTCGGCCGCTTAGATGGTGATATGAAGTTCAAAAAGCTCGCGAAGGTGCCGAAAATGTTCATGTTTGGGCTGTGCTGCCCCAGATCGGCAACGATCAGATCGACATTTTGAGCTTGAGCTGCGCGCCTGGCAAGATTGAAAAGATCATGCGAGATGAAATGTGCACCAATCACTGCTGGGAAATGAACCCATCATCTGATCAGCAGGGGCAATGCAGTTGGTGCAGGGGCGCGGCGGGGGCGACACCTGGGCGACACACAGACAGGTGCGTGAGAGTGTGGCAGCCAGCACCCCAGACGCTGGTCTGTCAGGGTCAATGAAGAGAGTTGATACGTTTGAAAGGTACAACATATCTTGTGCGCATGCACAACAACTCTTGCGCAACCTGTCCAGGAGCGCTGCCCGCTGCGATGGCAGGTGTTGCTTTCAGAGCACGGCGGTGACTGCAAATGAAGTCAAAGAGGCGTCCAAGTGTGTGTGATTTGAAAGCGCAAATGGACGTGTGATTCCAGAAGTATATCTCAACAAACTTCGAGTCGTAGTCGGCCGTCACTGTCTCACAGGCGCGAGAGGTGGCAAGTGTGCGGCAAGCAGGAATGTGCGCAAAGCGAGTGGGGTACCCCTGCCCGTACCCATTTCACCGGGACTCGTATTACGAATCACCTGAGCGTGACGGCGAGCCACCCAGAGAGGCAGAAGAGGTGTGACAGTAATTTCTGCTGGGAGAGTCGGTCCTTCCACCTTCTTGCCGAGCTCCAGGTCACGACGCGTACTGTATTGACCATAACCGTCCGTGCAGCAACTTCGTGATGGCGAGTATGACCGCAGCGCATGCTTATGTCTAGTCCCTCAAGACAGAAT